GTTTTTAACCGTGTCTCTATCCGTCCAATTTCGCTGTCAATTATTCCACGATGAATATCCACCAACTTGCGGTGCTGCTCGAAGTTTCTGGAGCCCTCAACTACCACACCCTCAAAATAAATTGTAGTTTGGAATGTTAAAACCACGATAATAACTTCTGTTATTAGCCATTCCTCATTAAATTGATATTCTATAGGCGACGCCGGAACCGGAGGCATTCCGTCGAGCTGCCGCCTGACGGCGTTGTAAGCACCGCCGTGGTGGCTTCGCGCTGGCCCGTTCCGTTTGATAAAGGAGCGTACTTTACATGCGAGATAAATGTTTTGTTAGTGTTTTTGTGCTTTATGAGCAGAAAGCAATTCAATAATTAAGGGGTTATTTTAGGCATTTCACAAGTCAACATGGTCTGACCAAGGCAGTCGATGTACTCATATATATGTAGTTGACATCTGCATCTGGTCATCTGCCGCGTCGCGTTTACAAGTACAAGCCAGGATACGAAAGGCAGCAACGCTGACGGAGTTGACAGAGCTTACACATGGCACCAGAGAAGTACTGCCTTGTAGCGTTTAGACGCAAGACAATATGGCCATGTTCTGTAACAATCAGCGGGTAAGCAGATATACCAGCTAGTAAGTACCAATTTTAAGTTGTAATTAGCGACCATGACCTATCATGGATGCCAGTACGTTTCGTACTTGAAGAGACGCCTAACCGCTCTAACGCAGCTTATCACTTTTTTCGTGTAAAAGACCATAGAAAAGAAGAGTTAAGTCCGTGCTGAAAATTGAAAATGGCATATGCGAAATATAGCCTTTACAAGATGGGAATTGCCAGCAATATACGGGCACTCCAGAGACTGCAAGCGCCAGTTCTAAGGACTTACCTTGGTCTTAAAATATGCGTTTGCAGCGGCAAGATTATTTCTTGCGCGAGATAATTCTATGTCCGCGTATATACGGAGCCACCACGCTGGGTTCAACACTTTGTCAAGATGCCTTCCCACCATCTCGCGTCGCTAAATGCAAACCAGCCACATGAGAAAATCATCGATCGTATTGCTAGTAACTGTACTTCACCAGCCTCCATCTGCACACCTGCCGCATGATCATCCTCGCCTTTAATGTGCCTTTGTTATACCAATAATTATGATGAAAACAAAACTTTTGTCGGTTAATTTAAAATAAGTAGCATAACTTTTTAAATATCAGGCGCACAATGATTGTATTCATTATTAGACTCAGATATAACTATATAATGGTCTAAACTCATTGACTTACATAGTAATTCAACCGAGATCGCACAATACACCCCCAAATGTTCTACGCAATATCAATACCACCTGCTTAACTTTTATTCTTCCGTGCAGCTCCTATAGGTTTGTTACAGATGAAGCTCCTACTTCACGGTCCAACTGTGATTGCAAAGCAGCCCTGCAAAGATTACTTTTTGCGGTAGGTATCGTCTCGCATGAGCCGCTCATTGAATAAATTAGGCACACTCAGCAAGAAGTCATTCGGAAAGGACACAATAAAATTTCCAGTGTTTACCAAGACATGGAAAAATTCAGGGCAGTGATCAAGCGCAAGAAGCTGCCTTATTAACGCACGAGGGCGTCAGCGGTACCCCCATTTCGTTATTAAGGTTTTATGCAGCAAAACGACTTCATGTGCTAGCACATCAAACGTTGACTCGGTAAATTTACCGGTGTTTACAAATTCACGCTTATATTCCTGGCATCATGATCTTCACTTGCGAATCTCGTAAAACCTATCACGACACGATTGTACCCGGCTGATTCGTCTCTGCCTTGAATTGGCATTTTTTAATGCACATTCATTCACTACACGAATGCCTCATGGTGTATTGTGTGAACTCTGCGGGGGCAAATAAACCATCACGCAACTTTTCTGTGATTGCACACTCTTTGATGCCGAAAAAGTAGCACTTTAAGCTACGTCTGGTTCATTGGACAATCGCCCTCCCACAAAAAAGGAAAATTTGTCAAAAGAGTGGCTCACACAGATGTCAACGTGAGCCACTATGAGAGTGTTTTGCTGCAGTTCTTTAGAGAAGCAAGATTTAGGGGTGCATTGTGGCAGTTAGGTGAAAACGCCCATTTGTTGCTTTAAGACAGTGCTGTTGGTATATCTCTGCAGGGCAGTTACAGACAATCTCCTGTTCTTTCATCTTTTCATGCCTACTTTCTACAATGTAGCAACGCGAAGATTTTTACTGCTTAGCTTTCCTGTCTTACGTAGCTTTTCCCTCTTTCTTTCTTTACATTCTGTTTATGTTTTTAACGATGACTGATACTTCGCTTCATGCTAGAGGCCTCGAATGCTCAAGAAGACGTGCCATGCATTTCGTTCATAAGAAGAAATGTATCAAGTTCAACTGCTTGAAACGCGGGCCCGAATGAAGAGATATGAAGTCAGATAACTTGCGGGGAATAAGAATGGCGGCATTAAAATGGCCGCCACTCTCACTTACCGATTTTTCTAAGCGCATGAAAAAACCAAAAATTAAAAAAAGCACCTCGCACGTTCACCCTTCGCTCGGTAGTATGCAACTTTCATTGATTACTTACCTTCAATGTCACTCGTGCCTTCCGCCGTTATCCGTCGATCAAGCCAGCGAGCGCGCCTGGGTCTCTGCGCTGTCGTACTTTCCTTTTTGGAGCCGCCGTCGTCAAATCATTTCGCTTTCTTGCGTCCATCCTCATTCAACCGAGAGTAACCACACAGCCGTAAACCCTCTCGTTCGTCCCGCTCTTTGTGTGAATATAACGCAACTGACAGCAGTAGAAGCGCCAATTTTCCTGATTAAAGCGCGCGTCGCACCTTGCAGCGACTGGATGAAATACCAAAGCGCCACCAAGCAGCGGCTGTAGCTCAGCGAGAGAAAGGAGGACGAGTTGAGGGCGTGACGACTTAAAAAGGCACTGACAGGCTGGACAGTGCGCTGATAGCATAAACCCGGCTTTTGCATAGCGTCTTTACGCGCGAAAGAGCGAGCTCTTGCTACCTCTGAAGTAGTACGTCACCACGCTCGGCTTTCAGTGACTTGTCTTTCTACGCTGCGTTGCCGACTATCATACCTGGTTGGAGCACTCTCTGCATTGCATTCTCTAGACGTTCATTCCCTATACTGCCAAGTGTTGTTACCTGTTCTCGAAGCGACATTTCTCGTTTAAATTCCACTTTCCTTCAAGCAGAATCTGATACAATTGTGAACTTCAAACATGTGCGAGTCTGGAAAACGGAAAAGTACAACATAAAACTTTTGTGCTCACAGTTAGTTTTTCACAAGAAATTTACCGCTTTGATGGTTGTGAATGCAAAGTAGCGCTCCGTCACCGGCTAGGTCCCTCCCTGCATGTTACTTGGATGTTGATATCGGGAGATCGCTTAACAAAATAGCAGAGATGACACCTTCGTGTAGAATGAAAAAAAGAGTGAAAGACAATGCACGTTAGACGACGAGCTGTACGTTGCGAGTGGCTTCTGTACGGTCGACTGTAGGTGGTCGCCTATTTTCTGTTGGGATATTCAAATATGAAGATGACTGCAGGAAAGACGTGTAAACAAGAGAAAAGAATCCAATCGTTTCTGAAACTCATTCACAAAGAATGCTGCATTCAGAAAAACAGGCCCTCATGGATACGTGTGTGATTATGAATACAAACATGTCCTGGAGAAGCACGATTTAAAAAAAAGGCACGGCAGCGTGGTCTGGAACATATACATGTTCTCTGTGTTCCCATTCCTGAATTTCCTCAAAGAAGCCACAGCTTCTGTTATTGCTTTGTTCGAAGGGTAGAAACTTATGCAAGTTGGTAGGACATAACTGAATATACAAACAGCGCAACCTAACAGAGCTTTCTTCTATACTTGTTTCTTCGCTTCCTTAGTTACACTGTAACTACTTTTAAGTTGCGCTGCTCGTATATTCAGTTATGCTTTGTTTGACTGCATGTTTCTGTCATGACAGCAGCTACAGTCCAGCAGATGAGGTACAGTAAAGGGTCACTGAATTAACCTTGGCAGATTTTCATCATTACTATCAGCTTCTTCAATCTTAGTTCTGCTCATTGTTTGAGGCAGAGAGTTAGGAAGAATGTGCTGGAAACTGCCGTATATGAAGTGGCATTGCATGTTGAATTTGTATGCACAGAGCACTGACAATTTGATACAAGCCGGTCATCGAAGACGTAAAAAGGAACCCAGAAAATAAACTTCAAAAGGCTTTACAATGATTATCCATGTTACAATCGAGAGAGTCCGGATATTCATTTTAGTGTGAGACTGTTCCTTGCATTCCTGGCTTTCATCAAGCAGTCAGAGAAAAAATTGACTTTGGTTGGAATAGTGAAAGCGTAATGAAGACGTACTGCCAATTTCTGATGAGATTGGCAGTATTGTTGCACAAATAAATAATTAATTAAATAAATATCAGAGAAACAATGCTGATAGCTAAATTACTTTGTAATACATTTTCTTCGAAAATTTAAAACTGTGGAATAGCCGGACGCTAGCGGTGGTTGTGAACACATTTCGGACAGTGGCTTCTCGAGAGCTTGTGTGGGCTTTACGATTACGGAAAGATCGGGCTCTTTTTACCCCACCCCCCATCCCCTTTACACAAATGCAGGACTGCAAACATCGACCTGGCATATGTATCGTAGTATATCCACGGAGTGTTAAAACTCAGATGTCTCATATGGCTGCTATGTGCCGGTTTCTGTCGAAGTACTTCGTCTTCTATCTCCGTCACAACTTCATAAGCTCAGCTTCAAAAAGTGGATGTCATCCACTACAATCGTTCGAACTTTCTGCCTTAAAGTGCCCTTAAACAGGCTTTCTGGCGAGTCTCTCAAACCTGTATTATCTTATAGCCTACAACAACTTCACCCTAACAATAGTCCTCAAAAGAAAAAAAAAACAAATAAATATCGGGAATGCATCGAGCAACTCGTACAGAAAGTAAGACAATTGGGCTGTTTGCAGTGTGTCCGCTTCTTATTTTTTTTATTTGCGCGCAAGCTTAGGAAACAAAATGTGAAGGCTGTGGGAGTCGCGTTTTCTTACAGGCTTTCAGGTGGCAAGGTAGCTTCGAAGGCTGAAGCAGAAGGGTGAAGGAAACGGGGAAATCTAATAAAGATGAGCGAAGTAGCTACGTCGGCTTATTCGCTCACTGCCGTCTTGTTTTGAAACCGTCGGTGCTCATGAGACGTGTGGGCTCTCGTCCCTAGAATGACTGTGAGAGGTCCCGCTGTTGCCTCCCTCTTACAGAGTGTGACTACACTGATAGGTATACATTATAAAAACCCAAAATAGTGCATTCCTTCTTCGTGTGAGTGTCCATGTGCCTCTTGCAAAAAAGAAACAGGCCGGTGCTCGTTGGGGCTGGCATAGGCTATAGAAAGGTACGAGCTTCGAGGAATGTCTCGTGGCCTCACTGTATGGTTCACCAAAAGACATAGGAGGTTCACTTGTTTCGTCTCGTCCCTTCAGGAAGGAAAAATGACCCGAGACCAGAACTTGTCCTTCTTCCGCGTTTCAGATTTTCTGGACGGGGTAGCTTCCGTTTGTCCGGGTGCGATTCCAGGTCCAGCGCCTGCAGCAGCCAGCGCCACTGGCGCACTTTTCCCGCTGCCCGCCTGCGCGAAGCCTTCCTCTATTCCCACGTTTTTGGCCCGAAACCGGAAGAAGGGGCACTGCAACCGGCCAGGTTTCGGCTCGGGACTCTCCATGAAGCGTACAGTCCCTCCAGTTCCTCCCGCAACTCCTCCACATACACCGCCTAGCTCTTCGTGATCATCTGGGTGCGATGAGGTAGAGTGAGTGGAGTCGGCACTCTTGTGTTTTTTCATCTTGTTAGTCTGAGATAGCTTCCATCTGATACCCAGGAACGATGACTTCCCACTTCCAGTGCCCTTGGATGCCGAGTCGTGCCCGCTTTTGCTAGCTTGTGGTGGATTGTGTCCATCAGTGCCGTTGGCTATGGAATCGGCGAACGCGTTCTCAAGTACGTTGACAATTTCTGCAGTAGTCGTCACTGGTGGCACGGACGAGGCACTCTGCGCAATTGTGGTGCGCTTTTCGTCTGCGTTTTCATTGAGAAATGGACACGATGAGATGTTGTTTTTTCTAGCTTTGAACAATGGTTCAGCATTGTTCTTGGAATTGGCCAATGTGGCGGCTGCTGGCTCGGAAGCTTTAGGAGGCATACTGTTGATAAGCATGCCAATCTGCAAAAGAAGAAAGAAAATTGTGCAGCAGGTCAGATAATAAAAATCACATTGGTGCATATTTGATTTGGTACCCCCGAAATGTTAGAGACACACACACTAAGTAAAGCATGCTGAACACTTCTTTGACCTGGTAGTCATCGCATCCAACCTTGCTCTTCCAAGTTTTTTGTCTTCCTAGTCTTCCCTTTCTCAGCCCGCGTCTACTTGCATTCTCTTTGCTCCATAAGAATATATTGTTCTAAATGAGCAAAGTTTGTGTTGACTACCTTGTGATAATTAGAAATCAAGTTATCTATAGGCCATTTATGTATTCTCAACACAGCAGGTCATGTTTACAAAGTCGAGCATATTTTCTTTTGCTAAAATTTGTCTTTAGTTTGGCCTTTATACACAAATAGATTGTATAAGCATCATTGGTACGAGCGGCATAAAACTGCTCCACTTTATTTTGATAGTGAAGATTTATTTGTGACCATCGTCTTCACATCATTTCTGAAGCCATCTGGCAGTAAGGTAGAGCATCAATCGGTATTTGTCATTATCTGAACATATTTATATCGACATGATATGAAGAGCAGCTCTGTGCACCTTACATGCCTGCCTTATTATGTGACAAAAAGAGAAGAAAAATATATTTGGGTAGCTTAAGTAGCCTATATTTAAAAAAACGTTTATTAACATGATCATCTTGCTATAAAGACACACTCAATTAACAGTATGCATTACTGACAGACGCAGACAACTGTGTTTTCTGTTTTGTAATCATGTAGTGAATGCCATCACGAAATAAAACTCAGAAAAGTATGATTTGGGCAGAAATAGAGGGCTAGAAATAGGAGCGATATGTCACTAAAATGATTTTTCTAGAAAATCCGAGGTTCAAGCAAGCTTGATTCTAACAACAATCGAAATATTTCGGAATACAAGCGAATGATAGTTCATACGACGTGCAACTACATTTGACTCAGCAGCTCAGCTTTGCCAGACCTAAATCAAGGAAAATTTTGTGAGTACATTAGGAGTTTTTTTTAGAGAAATATACTTTCGTAGTGCACAGAGAATGTTTCAGAAAGAATATATATAGGACAGAGCGCACCCTCTCTTCTATTTAAACATTCGCTGCATATTAAGGAAGTATAGTTGAATTGAAAATGCAATAATTCCACCCATGTAGTCACTATTTTACATTACGAGGATGCAAGAGATTTAGTAATAGAAACTGTCCTACAAACCAATGCAATCTATGCATCTTTTCTTATGACTTCAGTGATCAAGTAGCAATATTCGTAACAACTTTTCAATGATCAACGTTCGACCCATATTTTTATCAACAAAACTACACAATCTATCGATAAGTATCAATATAATTTGCCCTCCCAAAACTACTTCCGATGTTTTAGTTTAACACGTTTGCAAAAAAACCAATCTATATTTGAATAAAAAAGTGCCTGCCGAGTAGGCGCTTCCGAGCACGGCCATTTGTCCACACCGGACGGTCTACAAACCAACTATAAATGCGGCATGCTCATAGAACAGGGAGCAACAATGAGGGAAAGATAAACGGAACCTACAGTTTTTGCTTTCATTTGTGAATTTTGCAGCTACGTGTGACATGCAGATCTTTCAATGATCTTTAACAGCATATTTGAATGAAAGTGTATAAAAAATTATTGTACAAAGTTATTTTATAGTATGTTGCAATAAAAAAAAAGAACGAGCACTGTCTCAATAGTATTTATAATACCAGTTTTCTTAGGTGTCCGGCTCTGCACTCTTGAGCGCTGCTTTTCATATCACAGTGTATATTGTTAGCACTAACCTAAACTGCTAGTTTTGCCATCCGAATCACTTATTAGCATTTGCGTTGATGTTTGGTTGCCCTCCTGCCTTTTCAATAAAAAGCATTTGATAGTGAGCATTCTGTGTTGCCATTCCCCGTTCCGTTGTTTGAGCCGTTCAGCGATGACGTTCATCACTTTGACGTTCATCAATTTTATCACCCTAGGAATACTGGTGCCGTCAACAATTTCTTTCCTTTTTGTACGAGGCAAATCAACTAGCGCGCAGCTAGCTCCGTAACAGGTACACTGAACCTTTTAAACATTAATCTTCTGCGTACCTCATCCGCTTCCAAGGACGGTGACGGGACGGCAGACGCGCGGCGCACTGGTGAGGAGGATGGCGACAGGAGCATGCTGTCATCGGCCGGCTGTTGCCCAGCAGCCTGAGGGGTCTTTGCGTCTGTGGCGGGTCTCGACACCATGTCCACCAGGTAACAACGGAGAGGGAAATCACCCACATCAGGGTTGTCCTCAAACACGTAATCTTTCTTTGTTAGGTGGCTGCAAATACAAAACAATAAATAATTGGTGAGATGGGGAGCTGATGTTCCAAAATAGTTGCATGATAATGCGACAGGCTGCAATGAAGACCACCAAAACTTCGTATTACCGGGAGGTATTTAACGTGCACCTAAATATAATGGCGTGAAAAGCCGGGTTGGTTGATTTTAGGACAATATTGGAAACATTTCGGCACGCCCCGGGTTGTGACTTTTGCCCATTAGTCTTCTCACCACTTGGCTGCTGACCCGCAGGTCGCGGGATCAAATCCAGGCTGCGGTGGCTGCATTTCCAATGGAGGCAGAAATGTTGTACGCCCGTGTGCTCAGATTTGGGTGCACGTTGAAGAACCCCAGGTGGTCAAAAATTCCGGAGCCCTCCAGTACGGCGTCTCCCATAAACATATGGTGGTTTTGGGGCGTTAAAACCGAATGAGTCATCATCGCAGCATAACGGAAATGCGTTCCTACAACAGACCTTTCCTGCATGGATGACAACCAAAAGTGACCCATGCTTTACCAGAGGCTTATTAGACCATGGAAGAAAACGGACATTCATCCGAGAAAACATATCCATAAACCTAAGATTACCTATAGTGCGCACCATCGAAGTGAATGTCAAGGCATTAGAAGGAGCTAGCAGAGCACCGAAAAGACGGCTAAACATTGTCTGAGTGACGCTAATGAATCAATTCGACCATACCACGCATGATGTCAAAGCTATAGAAGTACCAATCACCTGTGACCAGCTGATGTAACTTCCACCCCCGAACATATTAGCGCAACAGCTGCTACATGAACAGAAGTTTGTTGCAGGCATGAGTGAAATTCCTGGATTTAAAACTGAGGACAGCATATGCTTGCTCGTTGCTGCAGATTAAATGTGAAAATTTTGTTAAACAATGTCTTCCTCGACGAGCTACAAGGCCTGGTGGCCGTCAACACAAAGGTTGGTTGGACCTTTCAAGGATCCATACGGTGTGAAGAACGGAATTTTAAGCGTGCTGCTGCTACTATTACCATCAGTGTACCAGCTGCGTAGACACGGGCATCCCTCGCTCTCTACAAAAACTCTTGTATGTCGGCATCGAGAACGAGAACGAGACAGTGTGGTCGTTGAACGAGGAAGCGCATCACAATTATCGGCAACTTAAAGTTACACTTCCTTCTAGGGCACTGCGCTCTACTCAAGCAAAAAACCAAGCAGCTGCAAAGCAAAAACTTCACAGATAAACACGACACGTTGCCACAAGGTGAGAGCTCAAGCAACGACACTACAAGGCGATCAGGCAGCTCCACTCTGACGGACGTCCTGGAAACCATTTTATAGAAGACAAGGACACATTTATCAACGACAAGCGTACCATCAAAATACAAACGCGCCTGGGGGAAGCTCACATCACTTGCGGCAAGAAACCACCAGTGCTACTGCCGTACTGGTACATTAAGGTGGCGTTTGTGCAACGTTAACCAATATTCGCGCCTGTTTTAGGTGGGGAGACGCGTGCGCGCGGTCAAAAGTAAAATTATAAAGTGTTCGACACGTGCTCGGTTTCGAGCGAACGTGACAAGTGAACTGGGACCAACTCTCAGTGGGATCGTTTGCAGCAGGAAATTATAAATGACACAAGTGGATTTTGTAGGACCAGTTAGTGTGGCGCTAATCATGTGTGCTAGTGTTTTAAGTAAGTGCGCCTTAGTTGTTCTTCAATGTGCACTTGTCAGCCGTTCTGGTGAAGTTGTACGTCCCTTTAACAACGGTATTCTCTTGAACTATTCACTTCAGGCCATGGAGTGTTTTGAATATTTTATTCAAGAAAGAGGAGAACGAAGTGGGCGCACGAGCGGAGAGCTGGTGCCTGGGCTGCGCCGAAAAGAACGTTTGCCGGACACTGTACGTGTTTGTTACGTCTCTGAGCCATTGAACCTTTGTTTTCGTTCACTCCTCCAGCGAAGACACCTTTTCTTCAACAGAACCCTTTCTCATGGCTGTAAAGCTTTATTCTACTCACTGCTTACATAGTTCGCATTGAGTGACATCTGTTCGTATTTTACTCTGCTCCAACACTACATTCACTATGTTAACTTCATGCATAGGCAATGTAAGTGCACTATTCAGGTACCCGCTATGCTGTAAATGATCGTATTTTGTTTCGTTGAAAAGTGTCAACTAAGCAATTTTCGGTTATACAGAAAACCATGGCACGCGAAACGCACCTGCAAGAGTTTTTTTTGCACTTTCTTGATGCTATAGCTAACGACGGTAGAGAATTGTCACTCGTTCTTGTCACTCGTATGTGAAAATACAGAATATAAAACACAAGCTGCGGAGATGTACCCAGTCACACTCTACAGTCAGTAGCAATTTGGCCAGGCCGGATAGGATCTTGCGTAGCCCCTTTTGGCCGACCAACTATGGCTTGTCCAGAAGGCCCGTCAATAACCGAGCGGCTGGGCCTTCTGATCTCTATGTGAGAACAGCCCGCTGCGTGTGGAGACATGATCAGCAGGACATTAATAAAGGTGTCCACATCATATCATATCATGTCATACCATATCATATCATGTCATATCATGTCATACCATAGCATGTGCATGCGTGACCCAAGAAATAGCAGCCACGCCTGACCCACGAAGAACAAAAGAAAAGAAGAGGTGCACATTTAAAGAGAAAAGATAACTGCTTTCTGGATTACGATGACGCTTCTTTTCTGTTTTTTAGGGGCGAAGCTCCTTAATCGGTGGATCGTGCGTCCGCGACACATGTAGTAGCAGAAGTAGCAGTAGCTGTCGTCGTAGTAGTAGGTAGCCACCTCTCGTTTAGTTCTTGAAATTTCCGCTGGATGACGGTATTTGTATACGATATGATAAAAAGATGCCAAATGGCTGTATTTGGAGCGTTCACTAGATGGATGGATGGATGGACAGACAGATGCACGGACACATGCACGTACAGACGCATGGTCGGATGGGCAGTTGTGCTGACGGACGTAGGCACGGAAAGATGCATGGACGTAGAACTGACACATGGATAGACGCAGGGACGGACGCACGTACGTATGCGCGAATAGGCGCATGGGCGCATTGATGGACGCACAGACAGCCACACGAACGAACGGGCGGACGCACGTATGGGCGAATGGACGCACAGACGAAGTACGAACATATGGCTTGTCGCACAGACGGACGCATGGACGAACGGAAGCAAGAACGAACGGGCGACGGAAGCGCAGATGGACTGACGGACGGTTCCCCCCACTCATCATCATTCACTCTGTGGATGTGCTGTGATATTTTTCCGTCTAGGCAAACGTTCACGTGGGCTACTATGGTTCATAAGAGTGTATTTAAACGTGTGTGTTACTATCTTTTTTATGGGAATTATTCAGAATCGCGTCAAATGATTAAGGAAATGAAAATTTGCTGACTGGTTATGGAAGTAGGGTTCCTGTCAGACGATACCTGATGACACCATCCTCCACTACCACTAAGGCTGGGAAATTACACTCAAGTTAGTTGCATTTAGCACCTCTTGCTCCACCAAAAGTGAAGCAGCAAGTATTCTATTCTCTCCAAGGACGTTATCAAGATACCCACTGGTGGTCGAAATTTCCGGACCCCTCCACTACGACGTCTCTCATGATCACATGGTTATTTTGGGACGTCAAACCCCACATATCAATCAATCAATTTATCAAGATATGACGAAGAAAGACCAAGAAAAACAAGATGTCTTTTTCCCAGTGAAGTTTTTTTTTTATTTGGTGCATCAAGTTATCAACACTTAGTGCCTTGGGTGCCTGGCATCGCACCAATGTTGTCCATGTGTTATTTTACCTAATAATTTAGTGAGTTATTTGATCTGCCTTACGTGTGCACTCTCGAGTTAATCGATGTAGCAGTAATAGCGTAAATACCCAGTATACTAACGCACCTCTTAGCCACTTCGGTGAGGTTTACCCTGGATGGCTTTGACAGGCTCTCTGTCTTGTTTGCCAGGGTGACTGTGTTTCCGAACAGACAGTAGCGAGGCATTGTCATCCCTACAACGCCGGCCGTCACGTAACCAGTGTGTACACCAATCCGCATCTACGTCGAGAAAAAGAAAATACAAGTTACAAAAACCTGACTCCAGCATTGCAGAACAATTGCTCACTCTCACAGCCACGATGCCTGTGAAAAAAAGTGTTATGGAAGTGAAGATATTGTACACTGTACAACGATATTGTACACTGTAGTGACGATATTGTACACTGAACTGTAACATTGAAAACAGCTTCACTCCAAGAAACGCTATTGACCGTGACAGATCGAAGAAAACAAAAAAAAAGTCTGGGCTGGACCCTAGTGCTTGATTTAGGTGTGTGGTAGTGGCACTCACGCATCGGCCTTCGTTAGCCCGGGCGTACTCTTAGCGTTAACGTTTTCTTTCGCGTTCTCCCCAAGTGTATCTCGGAGCCCCCGAACCAAGAAAAACGACTTTGAAGTCTGCACCGCAGGGTGCCGCTGGATACTTGGTGGCCAAAAGAGGACCTTGTCATCTGCCAAAGAGCTCATTGAATGTAATTTCACTGAGTTAACTTTACACCTAATTGATCATTTGCTAAAGAAAAGTTTCGATGCCATGTGTACCCAGAATAACTAGAACCCTCTATTCCAAACCAGCTTCTCTTTCTAGGCAAACTGAAAACTTTTTCGGCACTGCATGGGTGAACTGTGCACAGAATTTGCACAGTGCACCATAGCAGTGCACATTGTTAGTTTATGAAAATTTTGTAATGAGACTGCGCTGATCACTAGAAGATCACAAAAACCTAATGGTTAAATTTAACTGGCTACACGAATGACTTTGTGACAGATATATTCGAAAAAGAGACAACGCTTACCAACTAAACGACTGAGTTTGAACTAAACTTTCAGCGCTGTATAGAAGTACACGCGTAGCGTCTCTGCTGTGTGTGGCCGACTGAAATGATTCGAGGCAAGCCTAGCTAGGGAGCGCCAAAACATAGCATCGGGAAATCGCTTTGGCTCAGAGATGGTCGGTGTTGTTTTTGCAAACCGTTCCATAAAAGTTTGAGGGCAATCTGCTGCCACCCGGTTTTTACGACCAGTAGGCACCAGAAGAAAAAAAAATGTGTTGTAGGCTGCGGTTGTAAAAACGTTCTGCAATCCGCTGTCGTGCTGAAGCGCATTCGAGCAGCTCGCACAGCAGAGTGTAGCACGCTCACCAGATGGGATCTCGTTCATGGCACGGCGCCCAAAAATAGCGTCGTAGACGAATAAATATTTGTGTACTCCAAAACATCTGATCGTTTCATTTTTTACTACAAGCCGCTCCCGCTTGCAACGCCGGCTTTATATACTTATTTTCTTTCTTTACTTTAATATCATTTGTGCTGGATTTGTGGAAGAGCATGGTACGCAAATGGTGATATTAAATGACGCCAAATTTACCGATTGTAAAAAAAAAGGATTGAAAAACGTTCTACAGCTTCAATTTCAGCAATGTCTCAGGACCAAATATCCTTATCACGTTCAATCTGTTAAGCATATCTCTATCTGACAAAAAACAATGGCAAGTCCGTGATGGCCTAAAATTTTGAGATATGCAGAAATTTGTGCCAACGTGCGTTTCTTCCTGAAATTTACACCGACAACAAACTAATGCAGTATAATGTTTGCTTAGTTCACACTTCTGCTAAAATGTTCTTCAACGACTGACTGCCTACAAGTGCGCTCGTTATGAACACGGAAAGGTTTGTTTTTAATATCACATGCTTTATTCATGGAGGTGTGCAAGTTAGCTTTCAGTAGCATCGGAAAAAACAAAGGCATGGTTGGAAACAAACCTACAAGGTGCTTCTTTTTATTAATCCCGTTTTTATTTGCAGTGTTGTTATGAACTGTAGTGTCGCGGATTGTTAGGAAATATCGTCAATACCATAAACTACTTGCACTCTAAACACGTGTATAGGCGGTGCTACAACTGTCACATGCAGATAGATAGTTGAAGTACTTCAATAAACGAGTTTGTGTTTGTCTGTGTCGTTCCCGAGTCACGTGGTGCATCCGTTGGGTCACCTAGTGTGGCCGACGTTACATGAATATTTCCAGCTATTCCGTGTGTCAACCCTTACACCATTCGATCTTACAATGCTTGTTTTATAGGTCGACTGAAGGCAGACTACAATGCTACCACGAATAAAACAATTTTCGAGTGACTTCTTGTTGTAGTCGAGTGCTATTTCACTTCAACCTATTCAAAGTTAAGGTGCACTAGTGTGGGAGCAAAAGCGTCTCAATCCTTTGACTTGAGTACCAAAGGCAGAGGTCCCACATTAACACTCCCTTCATGTGTATATCGTCATGAAGTTATACAAATGCTGCATGAGCAACATACCTGTATGAAATCTCCGTTGACCGGATTGCGGACACTCTTTGTGGCTGTTATCATGTCGAGACCCATGGCGATTAGCCGGTCTGCGTGGTCTTCCACAAAGTCCGGCACACCTGCTACGACCACGTATGCGTCCCCGATGGTCTCCACCTGCGTTACACAAAGACGTGGCTCAAAAAACTTCGCATGTATGAAAGCATAGTCAGGGTGCCCCAGCTAACGGTAGCCAGAGTTTAAAATTATGGTGGCGCACTCTATAACGACATGATCAGATAATGACAAAGAGTTGAGTGAAAGGGAGGAAGGTTAACCAGAAGAAAATTATTCGTTTTGTTATCCCGCACTAGGTAAGAGATCAGGATGACAGAAAGCTAAGAAACAAGTGAAAGGTCTAAAACGTACAAAAAGAAAACGCACACACCCTAGCGTGTACGCGCCATAGTGGTTCGATGAGGGGGGGGGGGTGAGCACAAAAACATTAGCAGCACCTTTTTCGCTTCCCGGTTGGAAGCTCTAACATTCCTACAGTACAAAATTGGTTGCTCGAAAAGGGGATGATTAACGAGGTGTGCTAACATTGTAGAGAGGTGTTGTCTCAGGGCGCCCTAGTGAGGAGAATGACAAAAGGCATGTTCAATGTCTTCCTTATGTCACAACTTCGCCGCAAAGACGAAACAATGAATGCGATAGCAACAATTTGGAAGGTCACGCACAGAATGTAAAGCAGATTGAAACGTGCCCTGCGTTTCTCGCGCGCAAATTATGCACGAAACATGCTCACACGTAAGGGTACACGCTAATAAGCGTCTTATTTGTTACTTAGCTGAGTCTGAAAAGCGCGCACTTTTCGCGAACGGATACTTTAATGATTGAAGTTACCTTTGTGCACCCGGTAACTACAGCAGAATTGTTCCACGTAAATCTAATACAGCGCTGGGTATCATTTTGATTCGGCAAGCAAAGCTGTTTGTAAATGACAGACTCAGTCATGGGCAGCAGAAACGGTTGTCTTGGATCATGCAGGACTGCCCGAATGAAATATAAAGCAGAATTCACATAGTGAAAGAGGGTATGCATACAACTGGTTGTATTTCAAGTTTAATGTGCTACATCATACACGAACAACTGAGTCTTTGATGCTGCATCAGCTCTTGATAGTGTAGTGGTTTCCTGCACACTGCTTCATTAGGCATTACTTTCAGAATTATTGGCTTGTTCGTTGCCATCGATGCCACAGTGGCCTGGAAGCCACTGGTAAGTTATGTCATGCACTTGGTCATTTCATTCCTGATATGTTTGCCTTATTTCCTCTACTAGTTGGTCTTCTGCACCGCAACATAATGGTGATGACAAACTTTGTCCCTGTAAACGAGTCTCTAAACAAGCTGCATGTTAGCGGCGACCCTAAACGAATCCTTGGTAGCACACTTCGGTATGGCACTAGCTATACTGCAGTTGACGCAGTCAGATGAGAGGTTCTATAATTACAGGTTTCGGCTTTTCCTCGAAACATTACAGCTCATGCAGATACCGCGACAGTTTTGAGGCATTCGGCTATAGTTTAACACTATAGTTTACACTGTCGTGTATCTTCAATGGAGACAGCTGCTACAAAGCTGTCGAGAAGAACTCCGCCTTTTTCGTATCCATGGCACTGCCTGGCAAAGTTTACGTTGAATCAGAAAACAAGGGGGTATCAGGGTTTTTTCAGTAGGCATGTAGTCTGTTAGAAACACTCTCAAGAAGCAGACATTCTTTAAGGGGATATTGCACCAGTTTTCTTTAAATGAGGCCAGCTAGCGCTCCAGGGCTTGAGCGAGGTGTGTAATGTGTGCCATAACCACCCCTAACGTTATGTGAAAAGTGGCAAAATCAAGTTCTGCAATGGCAATAGCCTCCCCTGTTGACATATCCCATGACATTCCTGGCACTCTATGTTAGCTGGCCTTAGGCATCTTCTGTTTTATGTATGTTGCTTCTAAAGGTGTTTTTCAGTATTAATGAATTGTACCGCAGGTACCCTAAAAGTGGGATCTGCTAGAACTGCAACCAATCAAGCGCTGATGTATCCCACAATTTCACTTCAGAGGCAATTGAGGACATGCGAAATGGCTGACAGCCACTTCTCAAGGCCTGCCGCACGGGTATTTTACCAAAGATCTCTATCGGTGAGCACTGGATGACGCCCCAGAATATGTGCGTACAAAAGTAACGAGCATTTAGCGAATTAACAGGCACGGCGATACCCGTCAATAAATTGCACGTAAATTCGACTGACGCAGATTTCTCGGGTGAAATCTGGATGCATTTTTCGCTAAGGTACACCACTATTGGAATCGCAGCATTTTGGAGCTATACATGTATTTGAGCCTGTGCATTATCTGACGTTCAAACACAGTTGTGATCACTATATGTTGATATATGAAATAAGTTGCTATACGTTTCACGTGGCCGATTAACACAAGGTTCAATAACGTGGGGCTTAAGCTTCCCCCTTTAGGAACACTCTGCTGTGTGTGGTGCCCATAAGTTTGTCCTTCGTCAGTTTGCACAAAGAATGCTCTCATCTGGAGATAGCAGCAGATGTAACCGTACACTATTTCATCAAGAGCAACTGATTCGGGGGCCTTAAGTATGGCCTCGGGAGAAATGTTGTCGTATGCTCATTTTACATCGACCACTATTGTGAAGGATAACTCTATGTTCATTTTTTAGTGTTGGACATAAGTTACCAGATAAATGACATTGTCAATGAAGCCTTAAAAAGTCACAACTTCGCCGCAAAGACGAAACAATGAATGCGATAGCAACAATTTGGAAGGTCACGCACGAAATGTAAAGCAGATTGAAACGTGCCCTGCGTTTTTCGCGCGCAAATTATGCACGAAACATGCTCACACGTAAGGGTACACGCTAATAAGCGCCCTATTTGTTACTTCGCTGAGTCTGAAAAGCGCGCACTTTCAATGAACGGAGACTGTAATGATTGAAGTTACCTTTGTGGACCCGGTAACTACAGCAGAATTGTTACACGTAAAGCCCGAGGCTAGCCAAGGCGTACGATCTTCCCCTCCTCACCACCGCGAGATAAGGGCGCGTGAGGGAGCACCGCTCCCCTTCTCTAATACGAGCTAAGTACATGTAGGAGATCAAAGCGGGCGCCACTGCTCGATGTGGCAACGTGCGCTCATTGCGCCATTTTTTCGGTAATGCCGAAAACACAGCAGCGGTAAGTGGTAGATATAAATAGCTTGCCGTATGAACGTTGAAGAACGTTCCCCCGGGTGTCTCAGTGGTTAACGCCACGCTTTCACGATGCAGAGGTCCCACGTTCGGTTCCACGCGCCGTAGTGCTTTTTTCTGAATTTTTCTTTCTTGTGCTTTCACATATATATATATATATATATATATATATATATATATATATATATATATATATATATATATATATATATATATATATATATATATATATATATATATATATATATATATGACGTATATCATGCACCGTATGATGTCATATAGTCAAGACATTGACGCCGACGTCGACGCCGGCGCCAAGATCCAGCCCAGAGTGTCCATATAAATGCTCTCGCAATAAAATAAAACTGGCCTCTGCTTGATTGTATACAGTATACCATTCTAGGAACCACTCTAAGGCGACAATGATCATTCACTCTATCTGCATTCCTACACAACGAGGGAGCGCTCCTGGGCAGTATGATGTGAGCTCTCAGTAATTTCTCAGGTTTTGAAGGCAGGAATAAACAGTTCCCTTTCTATTCTTGTGGGACTTGTCCATCTCACAAAAACTTTCAATACATCTAGCCAAGCTGCATGTGCCTAGTCACTGTGGTTGAATAAGATCAGGTCTGGTATGCCACCAGGATGAAGCCACAACGAACAATTGCACAAGGTGAGAGTCGCATCCACCTCCCAACTTGAGAAGCATGTGCTATAAGTGTGAATCCGATAATTGTGGCATTAATCAGCAACGAGGTCTCCTGTGCAAGTTGAGGTTTAACGGCCTGCAGTCATCCTGTATAAATCTTTAACCACTTCTATTTCTCGTCGACTTTAAAAATGTGGCGAAAACATTAAAAAACTTCGCTCTTGAGGAACTGTGCCAGGGCCTTGCATGGTTCGCCATATTTAAGGTAGAGATTTTGGGCGTATACAAACTCGCGAAACTTCACCCACGACGGGGCTTCAAGTATACGTAAACAAAGCTGATTCATTTTTTGCAAGTATCTGGCTGTCCTTAGATCATGAATAGATTTCGTGCTTTGGTACCTTCGTTCGGCACATTATCGAATTGCGCATTGTCGTTTCAACACTATGCTGGTTTTTGAGAGCCTTAAATATAATGTCAGCGTGAACGTTATAGTCTGAGGTGCTTCCTTTATGGATTGCTTTAGGCCAGAGGAGAGACCACTAGACGAATATCCACGATGTTGGCATTCACGCAGACCAATAAATTTTACGGAATGTGTCATCTGAATGATAGCCAGTGAAGCCTTTTTAGTTAAGGTAGCAACGGTTATGTGTATGACGTGTACCGCGTCTATACGTTTCTACGTGTAAAATGTCTCTAAACAACTCATCACACGTGACCAAGTGGTGTGATACTAAAGACATGTCCAAGCATCTGCTGTGTGCGTAGCCTCGTAGAAATGCAGGGCCGCTGTCACTAAGTAGGAACAGATGTGATGGATCACGAGAAAAAAAACAGTGACTGACCAGCTGCGTTAGCTTTTTAGCTGCCCTAATTACGGCGATGGGCACTACAGTCTCACATTATCTAACCAAGGGTTTCGCGCAAGCATGCCACCCAATCTTCTTTTATCAAATTGACCGGAGAAAATGAAAATGTGCACTTTACAATGATAAATTTGAGGTTTTAGGGATAGAGCTCATTAAGTTCGATGCTTGTCTGTTGATGGCATTGGCGTGCGCCGTCGCCACGATGACGATGACAATGACGCTGACGACGATGAAAATCACGACGATGAGGATGACGGAAAACCACCGGCTTGTGCAGTGTATGACGTCTTGATATTATCTACGATAAATTTCACATGACTAGAAGCAACCAACAACCACCAGGGGAACGTACATGGACCTCGTCAGGCGAGATCCAATATAACAAAACAGCTATCATGAGGGCAAAATAAAATTCACAACTCAACACATCATGCATGACTATAAACATTGTATATAACGGTCTACCGCTTTGTCACTCAAGTGCGTGAGTGGTCAATGTCACGGGTAATTGACACCGAACAATCCCACAGCTGTGCCTAGTCATCATCATTCACTTCGTAGTTATGCCATGATCTTTTTCTTCTTCATTACCAAGAAAACAGTGGTGCTCATCATGATGTGGCACAGGATGAATGAGAAAGGTAACCTCAAGACGATTGCACAACAGAAGCTCGGTGGTTTCAATGTAGCTTGAAGAGAAGATGATTTTCTTGCGACTTCTCTGATTAGGCTGAAATACGTGGCGCAAGATTGACAAAGATAAAAAAAAGACGAGACAGAAAGAGTGCCGCTTTCTGTCTCATCTTTGGCGCTCTGTCTGTCTCGTCTTTTTTTTTCTCTTTTGTCAACCTTGCGCCACGTATTTCAGCCTAATACGTACCAACTAGCCCAACATAACGTACTGTTAAGTTCCCTGATTAGGTACGAAAACTTTGGTTTACAGATTAAGATAATAGCAAAAGGGTTGCAAAATACGTGCTGAAAGAAAAAATAAGTGCACGATCTAAATCCTCTAGCGTTCCACTGGATTGTAGTTGTTTCTTTTGAATGTAAATATTCGACAAAAGTCTGTTTCGTTGGATATGAAAACTTGGAGATGATTTAGACTCTAACCATGAGGTGACTGCGGGATGACTGCTGCTACGTCGTCCCGCAGTCACCCCTGAAAAAGGAACCAAGTCGGTTTCGAAACGTCGGGTTTTTACGAATTTTTTGGTTGGAGTTTAAATCATCTCCTAGTTGTTTCTCTCACGTCGTTCCCAGGAATTATGGACATCTGAACGGGTGCGATCTCTCTGCGGGGAAAGTGGCAGCCTGCCGTAACTGAATAGGTGACAAAAAATATATTCCTTAAAAAAAGGTTAGTTGTCAAAGACAACTGTGGGTTATATAAACTAGACACTCTGGTGCATTTCGATAAAATCGCATTATCGCTCTATAAAGCATGTGGATTCTCAGGACAATTGAACACAACCCATAGAAACTCATGGGATGCAATTGTTAAAACGTAATCTCTCTCTGAAGCCACTCTGTTTGTAGTGTGACGCTGAAATTTCGCCAGACTGTACAATTAAATCTTTGCTGCATAGAACTGGGAGTCGTTTTTGTTTACTAGCTTCTTGTCAGATATGTTTTTTTTCGCCTATTTTCTATTCTGTTACAGGAGGTCACCGCTTTGGCTGACGAGAGGTGGTGCTACGTGCAGATGTCCCCAATTCATGGTCATGCTTTTCATGACAATGTCTGATTCCCTGCACTGGCTCTAGGTGAGACTTGACAATGTCTGATTCCCTGCACTGGCTCTAGGTGAGACTTTGTAAGACTTGGCTTAATGCCTACAAACCCTTGCGAACCGCCTCGACAAGTTGAAGTTCTCAGGCTTCTCAGTAGTTCTTCCATGACAGTGATAAGAGTTCACAGCATTGGAATGATTTGTCAGTTGACTATTGGCACACGCTCACCTAAAGTAGACACAGAGGAAGGGATAAGCCAAGGAGCCTTGAGAGGACGCTCCTTCTCTAGCTGAATACGTGGAAGGAAGCGCAGGCCATTTGTCCACAGCGTCCGGCTTTGTCGATTCTTCTTGCTTCATGCCTCAAGGTTTGCTTGTGCTCGAAGCAAATGAGTTTTCGACTTTAAGCATGGAATCAGCTCCTTGTCTAGCACTCTTCCGTCAAGGATTATGCCGACGCTGCGCCTTTTGTGCGGCGTTTGTGTGAGATAGAAGTCTTTAAACATTTGTTTAGTAAGAATGATTTCTCTTTTGATTGGGGGGCAGCATCGTGAGGGCCATCATCACACTTGCACTGTAGACCTTTGCATTGATAACGACAACAAAATGATCATGCTTAGCATGAAGTCTTTGACATATTTGGACCTCTAAGAAATGTTTATGCAGTAGCTAAAAATGTTACGCAATGTTCATGTGATCAAATGCCTCTAGGCTTTGGTTATGGCAAAATGGGTTACGACCTACAACAAAATCGAGTCCCTCAGTAAGAAAGCCAGCTGGCTCATCATTTCGCTCAGGTTTTCATTACCTATTGTACACAAAAGATAAATGTCGCCTTTTCATCATTCACCTTGTAGACTCCGTGCACATTAGAGAGGTTGTCGAACTGCAAGTACAACTTGTTGAGCAGCCGCACGATATCCATGGGCGCGCAGCTACCGCACATGTTCGTGAAGCCCACAATGTCAGAGAAGAGGCACGAAACCGTCTCGAACTTCTCCGCTTCCACGGGAAGGTTCTGGCAGAGAAGCTTGGCTACCTGCGATGCAAGAAAGGAAATAATATAGCTTATTGTCACCAGACATCACAGGGCAAAATATGTTTCTCAAGCCCTGTACCCTTTTTCGCGACGTAAGTGGAAGCAGGAGAATTCCCTCCAAGCATTGTCTCATGAAAATAATACATTCATAGGGTGACTGGAATCTCATATGTCACATTTTAACGCACGTTACTGCTCTTAAACGTACAAAATTGTGTAAATATTTTAAGTATTTATATCAGTTTTCTCCGACCCAAAAATACCCAAAAAGGTATTTTATCTCGTTCTCATACCACATACATTCAATACAGAAGTTTAGGAAAACACAAAAACTCAAGTAGAAAAAATGTTTCAACGGATATTGTATGGCAACAAAGTTTCCACAAGTGTTCCTGTCTTTTCGAAGGCTGTCTTGAAAAAGAGAAGACTTTCGGCATCCGCTTGCATCAACCTAAGGTTTTATCTTCAGGAACTGAGTAAACTTTATCACAACGAATAGTTGGGGCCAGGAGGGTAGGGGTCTCGAAAAATTCTTATCGGTGTGGAAAATTCTCGCACATAATACCACAGATCAGTCCAGCACCGGTAACAGCTGCCATCGAGGCCGGCCTACATCGCAAAAGAAAACATGTTTGCGTTCGTCTCGTATATAAAGTTATGTTATGGTTCCTGAGGAATTTACGTTAAAACCTATGCGAAGGAGCATTGATGAAAAAAAGACACCATATCCACCGGGTGAATGATGGAGAGTGAGCGAAGCTGGGTCCGCACGCCGCTACTGGCGTCTCTTCGGCCTCCCATTGTCGCACTGCAGGGTCTGCGTGGCGCGCTTCTGCATCGCACTGCCCGCACGTCGGGGTCCCTTCTTCGAGCGCTAGCCGCTGCCGCCCTGCGCACGCACACCACTCAGCAGCCCATTATATCCTCCGTTGCAGAGCTTCCAAATGCGCGCCACTGCGGCGTTTTTATTGTACTATAGAGCAGCCCCTGGCGTACGGCGCCGCCAAAAAACATGTGATCATAGTCGCCCGATCGTCTCTCTCTCCTTTCATACGTGTGACGTCAATCTTTCTTTTCTACAAGTAACACCCTCTAGTGTCGTACCATTTGCATTTATCTACATACAGTACATTTTCATTTATCTACATATCAACAATTAACGAGGAGCGGTTACTTAGAACAGGGACGCACAAGCCACGCCATAAGTTTCACCTCTAAAAAGAAGCTCATTGAAATCAGCACATCATCTGATACACAGCACAAGCAGGAAGATTCCATGCCGCGTCTCACGGAGAAAAACATTTTCAGTCGGTCTGATAAAGTGGCCTCACTTCAACAGGAGACAGAACTCCATATGGACGACGTGGCGGGGTTAGTAAATCTGTCATAAGGACTGCGAATTCCATTTGCTGCGACGAGTGTAGAGCAACCACGCAAAGCAAAACCAATCCCTTTCTCAAGTGTTGAAACCCAAAACCAGTTGCTTCGTAGGAAGCGACCAGAGGAGTGCAGCATCAGTGTGATGGCCGATGCGCACTTCTAGAAAAAACGAACATCCACTTTGACCTATGCGTCCTGTTCATTCCTTCGTACTTGTTTTCCTCGTTATCAAAGCACACCGAAAATAGTAATTCGCGCGCCTATGAGCGGAGGCACGCCGGTAAGCCGAGGCCTCCGGAGTAAACCTCTAACGCGATTTTCGCTTTTCTTATACTTATAGTTTCTCTCTACCGCAGTACGCAGGCCTACTGCAATTGAGTCTAGATGAGAATTACGTGCTCAAGCAGTGACGAAGCCGGGCTCTTCAGCAGTCTACCATCGTTTTCAGAGTGCGTTGCTTGTGCTTTAGCACGTCTGATTCTCGAAATCCTCCATCCCTTGCTTTTTGTCGCTATCTTGCTTTGGGTTGGAATATCCTTTAGCTGACCAGCGGCCATAGGAAGGTTCCAGACGAGCGTGCGCCTCTAGAGTGCTTACGCTGCGTATCGACTGTCGGGCGCGGATCGACCAGACTGCAGATCCGTCTTACGTAACGATGTTCCATTCACGTTCCGGTTTGCTAACTTTTCCGGAGCGCCGCTATTCTCATTGGTTTCTTTGTTTTCGTTCAATAAGATATCGGAACATTTCCGGAGTGCCATTATGTTGATGATTTTGTTTGATTTTGTTCAGTACGTTTTTTTGTATTTAGAACCTGGCTTGCAGCCTCGCCGCTGTGGTCCAGTGGTTAAGGTACTCGGCTGCGCACCCGCAGGTCGCATATCGAATCCCGGTGGCGGCGGCTGCATTTTCAATGAACACGACAATGCTGTGAGTTCGTGTGCTCATATTTGGGTGCACGATAAGGAACCCCACGATAAGGAGCCCCGGAAATTTCGACCACCGGGTGGTAGAAATTTCCGGGGCTCTCTACTACGGCATCTCTCATAATCACATGGTGGTTTAGAGACGTTAAACCCCACATATCCATCAATCTGAAGCTGGCTTGCAAAAGAATGAGATGTGCCAATATTGGACTTAATGGGAATGTAATTGACAGAAATTGTATTGCCAATAGTCATTTAAAAATCGAATTTTCTTCAATTCTTTGAAAGTAGCGGCCCTTTACTTTGATAAAAACAAAGCCAAAAGTTGAGAGCACAAACACATGGAGTAGCAGCCTGGTTAAAAGTTGGAAAGCCTATAAGCACGAGGGAATAAGTATTTTGAGACGCGATATTAAAGTTGCTGAAAATGACATGCTTCCGTTTACACGTAGTTAAATGCAGTTACACTCTAAATAAATAATACATAAAATACTGTCAATAGCCACTAAAAATAATGATCGCCACACGCTTCGCAATAAAATTTTGTTCTGCTTAGATAGCTTTTTGCTTAAGGTGTTAAAGGGATAAATCAGTAAAAGATTTTTTGCATATATTTAAAGTACAATTTCACAATCTAGAAAACCCCAATATTACCGCTAAACGATGCTCCATAAGCGATGAAACGCGTCAAAAGAAAATGCGGGTGGAGATGTAACGTTGAGATTCTCGCATAAAACACCATGACGTAAGAGATTTTGAAGGCGTCTAGTCGATCTTACGTAGCTTCTAATTTACAAAAATGAGATACATTGTCATCCGTGAATGCCATTAACCTAGAATATCAGTTTTTAAAAAATTTCGTCGAGTCAATGTCACGATAATATGAAAAATATTATTTGCTATTTCTGACGTCACTTGTGGAGATTTCACCACGAGGTAATAAAAAGTCATAGTTTCGCCAAAAGGGCAAACCAATGAATGTGACAGCAACAAATTCGAATGTTTGACAAAGCAAGCCTAGCAATTTTAGGAGCAATAATAATTGTAGTAAACATGCACTTGCTAAGTGACCAAGTTTCCTACGACGCAGCAACAGTAGATGACAACAACAAGGCATCTGCGTAAGGACGGTGTTGACTTACGAAGTAAGGCAGGTGGTCGACTTCGATCTTACCTAACTCTACAAAACGCTGATCTGAGAGAACACGACCGCTTCAGGTAGACCGTTGGCACCGTTTTAAATGCGAAGCATTTCTTGGCGAACTTCGGCGACTTTGAGCGTATCTATCTATCTATCTATCTATCTATCTATCTATCTATCTATCTATCTATCTATCTATCTATCTATCTATCTATCTATCTATCTATCTATCTATCTATCTATCTATCTATCTATCTATCTATCTATCTATCTATCTATCTATCTATCTATCTATCTATCTATCTATCTATCTATCTATCTATCTATCTATCTATCTATCTATCTATCTAGCCGCCTACGACTTTTAGCTCTCCTGGCCGTTTCGATTGACGGTATCGATACCAAACTTGGTATGGCTAAACATGAGTGTATGAAGAACATATTTGACTAGTCATAACCTAAAAATCATGACATGTATGTCATGATTTACATTTCATGGTCCTGTAGCTGTTGCGGTGGTTTCGGTCACATGGCATGTAACAACATGACTACATGCCACGCTCATGATGCGCTCGCGGCCGTTTCGCTAGCGTCACATATACTAAATTTGGTGTTACGTGACGTCAGTGGATGACGAAATATATGACAGGTGCAAGCATGATAATCTTGACATGCGTGTCATGTAAGAAGAACATGACAAGATTTCACGCTCATAGCGTTTTCGCGGACGTTACACTAGCTCCACATATACTGAATTTGGTATCTTGTGATGTGAATAAATGGCGAAGGGAAAAGACACATCCAAACATGATAGTCATGACGCGGAAGTCATGTACGGCATCTTTTACCTTCAACTCGTAACGTTTTGCTGATTTTAAAGTGACAGATCAACCTTTCTGCTTCGTGCTTCGCATATCATCGATTCCCACTGTACGTGGGATCTGCTTTTTTTTTTCGTGTTGAGAGCACAGCCCACAAAAGATCTCACCTGCTTTGGGGGCACAAGGCGCACGCTGATCCTTGCCGCGACAGCGCGCGAACCTTAAGCGCCTCCCCTCCACCCCGTTGTTCACTGGCGAGATAGGCGCGCACGCAGACGAGCCCGGTCGGAAAGGCGCTGTTCGCTCCACAGAAAGAAGAGGTTATATATATATATATATATATATATATATATATATATATATATATATATATATATATATATATATATATATATATATATATATATATATATATATATACGTGAATATCGGTGGCGACGACGGCGACGGCAAAGACCAGGCGAGACTGTCCATATAATTGTTATCGCAAAAAAAAAATTAAACTTCAACCTCAATTTTCCACCATAATAACAAACTTATGGTAGTGAGATATATATGACATCAGACTTGTAAAATGCAGCTTATCAGGCTAAATTAGGTCAATGTTTCTTTCAGGTTTCTTTTATTAGAAAGGGTCATAAAATTAAAACATACAGATACAGATGAGCGACTTTTCACACTGGTTAACTTGAGAGAATTGCGTTAGTGCAAAAACTACACTCTAAGTCAAAT